GCTGCTTGACAACGGTATAAGGATCTATACCCAAACATCACCATTGCAGTAATTAAAGAAGTCCATAAATCCATAAATTGTGTCTACTTTATCATCCGTCAGCTTCTAAATAATGCCTAGCTAGGTATACAGTAACATGTAATACTTATTGATTTTGGCCAGTCAAAACTACCACAACCTTTCCCAAAATTGTGATGTGGCAAAGATGTTAAGTCAGATTTGTTTGATACGATTTCGATTTAACAGGCACGATAATCATAGGAGGCGAAAAGATGCTTGGAGATGTGAGCTCGATGATACGAAGTTCATCCTTACAATGCGCAGGATACGCCCCAAGTGTATTATAGTGATCAATAAACCAAATGGATATCTGAGTATGCTAACGTACCTTTTTTCCGTGGACTGTCTTGTATTCTAGCGCGCCGTTCTTCAAGTATTTTCTTTCGTTTGTTAATCTTGTCCATAATTGATCGGGCTTCACAAGTTTCCATCTGAAACTCTCCTTCTCCAAGCATGCACATCCGACCAGCTTCTATTGAGAATGTGTTGGGTGTTACAATGTATTTCCTTATGTGCTTGTAGGGCAACTCCAGTATGACATCACCGGATACCAGGTGCCGGAGCTGGAGGGTCTCCTCGTGGATGACCAGATGGTAGGACTCCTCATGCTTGGGGGAACCTTGGTCCATTGGCCTTTCACTGAAGAACACTTTGTATGCTGGATCTAAATGGGGGGAAACATATGGTTGTTTTTTTGTTAAACTTTGCAGAATTATGAGAAATAAAGGGTGTCTTTTCAAATGATTTGGGATACATTTAGTTAGCATTTTATTTCATATTTAAAATGTATAACCATTTATACTCCGGTTTTACAAAAAAGGAAACCCTGGACATACTGTAGGTCTAAAACGTTATCTGTTTTTTGTCTGCTTATGTCAGAGACATTTGCTGTATGTTTTCAAGTACTGACCATTGTGCCCCCCCCCCCCCCCCCCCCCCCCCCACCCACCCACCCAGCATACCCCATACCCTTCGTCCAAGATATTGCATATATTTTAATTTTGTTTCAATTTTGACGAGTTTACGCATTTGAATAAAAAGATGTCATGAAATGTTTACTTTCAGAAAATATCTAACACGAGAAACATTTGCGTATGTGTTCCTAGTTTTCATTGGTTGTACAGCTCACACGTTCTGTCTTTGAAGCCCTATGGAGAACTTACGATACGGTCACTTTTATGTGTAAAGATATATCGCCTCCCGCCCCACTGTCGCAGTTGCAGAAGCATATCTATGTTATTATGCAAAACAATATGTAAAGCGCACCGAAAGGCTTGCCCTGGGCCAGTCTGCCAGCCTTCAGAATAAGCGCATTTGATCACGGACAAGAGAAAGGCACGGTCACGTGATATGCAAATTAGCTTGTGACAGTGGTGTCATGCTGAGTCATCCCTGCGCGGGGGTGCGGTAGGTATACTGCTGACAAAACGAATGTTTGGGATTCTGGGATTCAAACAAACAGTCATAGGATCATGTCACGCCCAAGGGAGACAACGCTTCACAAAAACATATCGGCGACTTATGCGAATAAGGCCACCCCTGGAAAAAAAAGCGATGTCACGTGTTCAGATGAGTAAATAAAAAGATAGAAAGAGACTTCCTGTTTGCAAACAACTATAGAAGAATGAACAACAGTGTTCGAGGATCAGTACAAAATGCATATCTGTGTAAACAGTGTTTGTGGTCATGTTCTATTAACAGGAAATTGAATTAACGTTGATATTCATGACAATGCTATCAAATTCTATAGGGACCATGTTATGAAATGGACCAACAATACAAGTGATAGCAGTTCACAGTGCATGGAAATAAGTGTGCATGATTGTGACGAGTGTGTAACGTTTGGTGAACACATAGCTGTGTCACAATGACCCACATGTTTCCCTCTCCATCTTCCGTTTGACTGGTTACAGAGGCTTCCCTTTGGCTCTCCTGCTGTATCACACAGAGGCCTGAAATAAGAGTAATTTATATTATATAATTAGTATAAATCCTTATAACATAATATTATTGTCATATCTTAAATTGGTTAGTCCACATGACGTGGCGAAACCATATATTTCCATGCTGTACTAAAGATGGTGAGTGAGTGAGGGAGTGAGTTGGGTTTACCGCCGCTTTGAACAGTATTCCAGTTATATCAGGGCGTAGAGCTTAATGTGGGAGGAAATCCCGAAGTGATGCAGGTCTTGGATGTTACCACTTTGTTGAATGAAAACCCAAGCACGGGTATGGTGCTTACAAACCTAGAAACCTATTCTGGGCACACCGAGATTCGAACCCACGGCCATAGGTTTCTGGCGTGACCAAGGGACTGAGCTCTGCACAGAGAATTGCGGCGCCTTACTCGACTGGGCCACCCGTGCACTGGTATGATGCGACCGGAGATCGAACCACCGACCTTCCGCTCTCCGGGCAGACTGGTCCTCTGGTTACATTGTATATATCTGCAGAGATACGCTACATCAAAGATGGCATGCCTTCTGTCAACGCGATGTCCTCTAGTTACCTTGAACCATCGCCACTGATAGGCTACATTCAAGATGCATTCCTTCTTTACACATGATGTCCTCTGGTTACATTGTTTATATCTGCAGAGATACGCTACATCAAAGATGGCATGCCTTCTGTCAACACGATATCCTCTAGTTACCTTGAATCAAGGCTACATTCCAGATGCATTCCTTCTTTACAAATGATGTCCTCTGGTTACATTGTATATATCTGCAGAGATACGCTACATCAAAGATGGGCATTCCTTCTGTACACTTGACATCTTTGAACACATCAACATTGATTACACCTTTACACAACTTTAACACAACTACCTACCTTCGTTTAGGTCACCCGTACATTGACAGAGAAGGGACAGGCATTGAGGCATTAAACCAGGATGGCAAAACGTGTTTGTGCACAGATTGGATCAATATGCGGTGATACAAACAACAATGATATATTCGTATGCTATTATTCAGATAAATGATCGCTTTTCACTAGTTTTATTATCATGGTAACGTTATATGGTATTATCATGAAAATGAATCGCAGAATTATCCTTGACTACCACAACATGTTACACACGCGTTGTCAACGGCAACACAACATGTTACGCACACGTTGTCAACGGCAACACAACATGTTACGCACGCGTTGTCAACGGCAACACAACATGGAAACGTCACCATAAACGGCGCTGCTTGCTCTTGCATCTGAGTCAATCGTAAATTATTCATTACGCAGAACAAATGTATGTTGAATACTATCATTGAGTAAAGAGATATTTTGTCATATAAATTCATGATAACCATGAAACAACGTTGCCAGTTGTTTCTTGCTTTTGAACTGTATACACCTTCGAAAAGATTATGTCCCACAGATGTAATGCAAATACTACTAACTTCAGTAATATGATTTCACATGTAAAGCTTTTCAAGAATCAGTGAGTGAGTGAACTTGGTGACTGAATTGTAGGATCCTAGCAAGACCAAGGCACACAGCTCTGTATATAGTAGATATTGTATTCGGTGGTTCATATATTACAGAAACTTTACTTTATTTCAACTTATGAAGGACAGATAGATTTAACAAAATGCAATACAACAACTGAACACATTTATGCCTTGACGTTGTATAAATGCCTGTGCAGGTCACGTGATGTTTTGAAGATATATGTACTGGGTCAGAATTCAGAATGTCTTCAATGGTGGCAGTGATGAGGCGAAGATGAAATGGGGTGCAACGTAGCGTTCAAGATAATTGCAGTAAAATAACGACGCGCATGCACGTGTGTGCGAGTGTGTGTGCGAGAGATAGAGAGAGAGAGAGAGAGAGACGAAGAAGAGAGAGCGAGAGGGAGAGGAGGGGGGGAGGGGGGGGAGAGTGTGTTTTTGTGGACGCTGATGCTAGTCCACTGACATGCCATGCGGCAGTTTCACATGGATACCGCACGCACTCAAACATACTATACTGACCCCGCGCCGACCGGTCCTCGATTTATCTCTTCAATCCCGACGCCAGGCAGGTTAACAACAAGTACCAGCTTTTAACGTCCCACAAGATTTCAAATTTCAAAACCCACCAGCAGTTTCATTCTCCTACACGAACACCATCTCATCCAAGTTGTTCAGCAATATGAACGTGTTGTAGAAAGTTGACATGGCAGCTCATGTTGTAGATTTCACTACTAATGGCTACCAAGACTCCTCATACTGTCACTAACCTGTTGGTCGGACCGGCGGGTAGCCTAGTGGTTAAAGAGTTCGCTCGTCACGCCGAAGACCCGGGTTCGATTCCCGACATGGGTACATTGTGTGAAGCCCATTTCTGTGATATTGCTGCAATATTGCTAAAAGCGGCGTAAATCAATCCTCACTCAATTACACACTAACCTGTTGGTCATATAATCACAGATGACTTCTCAATTGTTGACAATGACAACCTTCGTCAGTTATTCAAAAATGGCCCAAAATATCGCGAACAGTCTGCTTCCAATTGGAATCACAAATTCAAAATAATTATGGATGCTGTCGAAATGAATAGAAAAAAAGAAGCTGACCCTATAACATGTCCTTCGAGGGGGTTAAGCTAATGCGTGATGTCATTTGCTGAATGCACAAGCAGAAAAAGAGTTGGAATAATCTCATTCTGTCACATCCATCTGTTACATAACCATTATATGTAGGAGTAACTACATTCATTATTTGATAGGGGCGGTAGGGTAGCCTAGTGGTTCAAGCGTTCGCTCGTCACGCCGAAGACCCGGGTTCGATTCCCGACATGGGTACAATGTGTGAAGCCCATTTCTGGTGTCCCCCGCCGTGATATTGCTGGAATATTGTTAAAAGCGGCGTAAAAAAATACTCACTCAATCACTCGTTATTTGATAAATGAATTCGGTGTAAGTGATACGTCATGACATACAGGAGGTTAACTGAGGGGTATGTTCAATGAGGAAGAACTCTACCAAATCAGGACTAACAACCATGGCTTGACTCCATACGCTGAAGACATGTCCTGCAACGGTACTACCATGTCCAAGCCTTTAAGATAACCATAATCCAAAATTCAATCCCGGTAAGACTTTCTTTAAAAACATATTTCACATATGGAATGAATACGATGTGGATTCTCAAAAGCACAGTTTGCTTCATTTTTTGCAAACTCTGAAAAGGACCAAGTTCATTTCTGTCAAAGCCACCGTATTGATGCTCTGGTATCATTGCATGATGGTGAGTGAGCCGATTCTATCTCCTTTGTTTCATATTTATGAATAGTTTCAAGGTGACTTGTTCCCTCTTGTTTTGTCTTGTGGGTAGTTTTTCGTCATTCTGAATCTGTATGCATAGATCTCAATATGAAACCGATGACACTTACGACATAGTCGGAATCGTACAATGGTCTCTGCTTTTAGCAAGGATTTGTTATGATCATGAAATAAAATTTCGCGTTTATATAAGAAATATCCCCCGAACTAGATTTATGTATGCGATTGAGTATTGTCAATACAGGTGACATTCGTGTGTCCACTGGGGCACGGGTGGCTCAGTCGTCTAAGGCGCCGCGATTCGCTGTGCAGAGTTGCGTCTCTTGGGCACGCCACGAACTTATGATTGTGGGTTCGAATACCGGTTCGCCACGATTATGTTTCTAGGTTTGTCAGCACCATACCCGTGCTCGTGGGTTTCACCGAAATGGTAAACGTCTAAGACCAGCATCACTTCGGGCTTTCCTCCCACATTAAGCTGACACGCCGTCATATAACTGGAATAATTTTAAAAGCGGCGTTAAACCCGACTCACTCGCTCACTCGTGTGTCCACTGACAAAAATCATCCAATAAATAGACACAAACATATATTTTGATTCTAATGGCTATGATTCCTTGCGGCTTCCAAAGCGTCTGTGTGTGTTTACAAACACAAAATTTGGATTGAAATAAAAAATGGAAGGTCTATAACGGTACGCCTACATTTCCTTAGGAAGCGACCGCCTCCGTTTTCTTGGGATAGAGCGTGCGCCCGAGGAGCGGAAGGTTTGGGGTTTGATCCCCGACCGCGTCATACCAACAGACGATAAAAGATGCTGTTTGTTATCCTGTCTGACGCTCGACATGAACGGGATAAAACTAGCACTGGTCGGCTCGGAGTCCGTATGCTGTGTCTGAGTGTGATATTCATGTTAAACTGCGGCATGATATCTCACTGGGATAACATTATAAAATCGGCATTAGTCGGGACTGGTACAAGCAACCGCATACGCACGCACGCGCGTGTCTCTAAACCCCATCTCATCTCTTAAACACGTTCCTGGAATATTCTTCAGACATCCCAAGGTTTTCTGGCGCAGTGGACCTGTAGTGAACACAAGTAAGCATTTCATTTATTTTATTGATTTTTTTTTGTAATGCAAGCCACAAGTAACCATTTCATTTATTTTATTGATTTATTTTTGTAATGTGAACCATATTGGGCGTAGAAGTAAGGATTATTCTGTAACTGTGCTACGTGTTTCCTTATCATCTGTCCATCAACATGAAAACACGCCAAGGAAGCAGCATCTGTACCCGTGTCCGACACAAGTTCCATTGTCCATCACCCATCTACATGAGTGTAACAGTCACGCCAATGGACCTCAATGGCCGCCCCTTCTCTGACAATGTACGGGTGGCCTGAACGAAGGAATGTCGTTGTGTTAAAAGACGGGTGTAGATGCATCCAATGTTGATGTGTTCCAGCACACGCTCCACCGCCCACCGCCCACCGTCCACCGTCCACCCAGCCTCTTCCTTCATCTGCTCCTCCAAGCGGACAGAAGGTTAATCCACAATGTCGTACAATACCTCGTTCTCGTATCTGGTAGTGTCTGTGTTGACATACAAGTGATCGAGAGCTTTCTCTTGCACGCGCCCCTTGTCTCCTCCATCTCCAGGTTTTTGTTTACATCCTGTTGAACAATAAATAACGAGTTGGAATGCATTATGTTGATATAACAATGAACTAGATTATACTTGTGATCTTTGTATGGCATTCAGAAGATATAATTTTGAAGTAAATGTTTAATAACGGTGTTAGAATATACAGTAGAAAATCACTACTACTGAAATAAAGTTGCCCAACCTTATTAGTTTGTCATTAATGTACTCTCTGTGTGATCTCGATTCATGTTATGATGCAATGCTAACTTGTTTACACATATAATCTACCGCTTTACGTGCATTATAATTGACGCGTGATAAATTAGATCGGTTCTGATATTTTTATCAATGTCAGTAAATGTAACAAATGCTATATTTGGGATAACACTTTCTTAGTAAAGTATAGATTATCGTACTTTTGGGGTTCAGTCCAGTCCGGGATTCGAACCCCCATCGTCAGAGTGGGGCACACAAAGTCAGCATCTAACCCACTCAGCCACCGAGGTACGAAAAGTCCGACAACTGGTCGTCTAGATCACTACTTTGTGTACCCCTCTGACAAGTGTAAATTGGCACGGCTCATTGGCCGAAAGCTATGAACACACAGTGCCATTTAAAAAATTGTCAAATGTAACAAATGTTATATTTGTTATATTTGCAAAATATCAGTTAACACTAACAAACATGGCATATCATCCAAATCACTCGCCTACACTCAGACACACACGAACATGTGAATGTTGGGTATTCGCAGACACGGCCGACTCGTGGGCACAGTGTACAGTGATTTCGTATTAAAATCGGGAGTGAGTTTGTTGACATTTTTTTATATATATTGAGATTGAATGATAATAATTAACATTATCAATATTATTGATACTTAGCGGAATTGTGATGTGTCCTATTTACCTCAACAACAGTTCATTTTGTACAAGAAGGCACATTATTGGTTGGGTCGCTTCCTAAATGAAAGACACATTTTCATTGGTTGCAAGTTTCCTTTATGTTTCTGAGTGTTTTCTTGTGTAGGTTGTTTTGTAAATAAATCTCACGTCAGATCACGTCAGGTAATAATGCAACACACACACATATATTATTACCTACAAATTAAGATTTAAAATACATTTGCCACATACAAATTCGCAAATTATATTTGTTCTGTCTCCTAGTGTACCGTGAATTGTGTCTACGAGTTTGACGCGTCCACGAACTCCCTATGTTGGTTTCGAGTTCACCTGCAGGCGTATTATCTATATGTGAATCACAAGTTAACTAGGGGCGGTCGGGTAGCCTAGCGGTTAAAGCGTTCGCTCGTCACGCCGAAGACCCGGGTTCGATTCCCGACATGGGTACATTGTGTGAAGCCCCTTTCTGGTGTCCCCCGCCGTGATATTGCTGGAATATTGCTAAAAGCGGCGTAAAACAATACTCACTCACTCACAAGTTAACTAAGCAAGGATAAGATATATGGATGAACAACTTCTCATTACAATTGTAATAACGAAGTTGTTCATCCATATATCCTAACCTTACTTAGTACTCCAACTTCTAAATGCCTCTCAAAGACTTTACTCAAGTTAACTAGTTTCAAACAAATCAACCCTCTTACCTTTTGCAGCTTTTATCTTTTCAATTTTCTCCACCATGCTCTTTACGATTGAAGAACCGTCGGCCGTCTCCATGTTAAAAACTCCTTCACCTGATAACGATGTCCGTCCAGCTTCAAAGTAGAAATTGTTGTGAGTCTTTCCATAGTTCCGGATGTGTATGTACGGCCATTCATAGATGACCCGGTTGGATTTGACATCACACAGACACAAGCTTGTGTCCTTCACAGCAATGTTATACACCCCTTTGAGATGACAGCGCTTGTGCGTCTTCTCGTTCCCTTTGATGTTGATTCTGAACAACGACTGATTCTCCATAGTCTGTGTATATACAATAGACACGAGTCTGTCAATGAGCAGATTCAAATTATCATTCAGACGATGTTGACAGGTTGACCCAGATCGGGTAGGTACATGTAACGTGAAAAATCTAACAACTTTTGCAATTTTGCAATGTAATGATCCGATAATAACCTTGTGGCAAGTATGACTTTCCTGTTAGAGCTTACGTGATAATACGGGTATGTTGCTCGACTGGTTTTTTAACCTTCGATTTACTCATTCAAACATGGTGAGGGTATTCAATACCCCTTCTTCCGCAACGTGATGTTATGAATAGATATCTGGATACACCCATCTCTTACATGACGGGTTAGGGTGAACGGGTATGTAAATATGTAAGTGTGTGCTATACAAACGCTCATGTGGACAATACATGTGAACCTGTCAACAACAGTATCGATGTAAAAAATGTAGTCCACCACTGGATCACACATTTCTTTTGAGTGTACATGTATGTTGAAGGAGTGAGTGAGTTGGGTTTAACGCCACATTGAATATATCCAGTTATTTCACGGTGTATCAGCGTAATGCCCCCGGCATTGGTAGGATGATTGACGATGCAACAAGATCCCGAATCCACTGTAAATGATAGGCGCGGTAACAATCATTCGTCACCACTCGCCCCTGTTTGTAACCTGCGAAAATGGCCACGAGAGGGGCACGAGTCGCTATTCGGCTTGTCCCGGAATAACACGAGCTGGTCACGAATGGGTAAAAATATCCCCACTCCACCGATCACGGCTTGTGATGTACATACAACGCTAGCAAGCCAGCGATAGTTACACCAGGAAGTATGACACAAATAGGGCTAACACAGACATTTCGCTATTCGGTAACCTATTTCCCTAAAACGTAATTGTAAATTCGACAGTCAGTAAGTCTCCAGACCAATTTTTAGTCAATTTCCCTTCTACTTGCTCGCTGATTTCTACTCTTAGATAACGTATAAATATGTTTGCACATATACAGCACAGCCTGTTATAATACCAGTTTTGTACATTGGAAAAATTTGCATTATAAACAGATTGGCATTATAAAAAGGTCGGTATTATAAACCGGTTGGCATAATAAACAGGCTGGCATTATAAACCGGTTGGCATTATAAACCGGTTGGCGTTATAAACATGTGGGCATTATAAACAGGTTGGCATTATAAACAGGTTGGCATTATAAACAGGCTGGTATTATAAACATGTTGGTATTATAAACAGGTTGGCATTATAAACAGGTTGGCATTATAATCCGGTTGGCATTATAAACAGGTTGGCATTATAAACAGGTGGGCATTATAAACAGGTGTGCATTATAAACAGGTGGGCATTGTTAACAGGTTGGCATTATAAACAGGCTGGCATTATAAACAGGTGGGCATTATAAACAGGTGGGCATTATAAACAGGTGGGCATTATAAACAGGTGTGCATTATAAACAGGTGGGCATTGTTAACAGGTTGGCATTATAAACAGGCTGGCATTATAAACAGGTGGGCATTATAAACAGGTGGGCATTATAAACAGGTGGGCATTATAAACAGGTGGGCATTGTTAACAGGCTGGCATTATAAACAGGTGGGCATTATAAACAGGTGGGCATTATAAACAGGTCGGTGACTGGGAAGCAGGTTTTCCAGCACGAGTGTCATCTGGCTTGGCTCTGCTGTGTTGCTGTTTCTCTGGAACTGCCGTGATGTATGTCCCTGTGTCTGTACTAAATTCATACGGTTCGCTGTAAACACCGACAGTACCCCCAGGGCAGACAATCTTGTTCTCGTGGAGACCTCCTTGTCTTGTACTGTTGGTGTTCACGTACGTGTGATGACTTCTGGCAGCTCCAACAACTCTCTGTTCCTCATCTCTGATGCCCGCCTTGCCAGCAGATGGACGAATGTTACATCCTGTTAAATACAACCGTGGTTGGTTAACTGGTTTACATTATTGTGCAGAAGCTACTTGAGTAAATAGAATACCTTTTTTACCCATACCACTCCATCATGCTTTTAAACAAACAGTGTAAATGTTACACTGCGAAAGGTATATGTGTCGGATCCATATGTCTTATATTATATACTCCAGTGTGAAAGAGTTTTGAAAAAAAGTTGAGAAAATTGATATGCTCATTGCATCGAACATAACAGTTGATATTTGACTGCAGTGAACATAACACTTGATACTTCCCTGCTGTGAACACTTTGATGGAACTATTGCCATACAAGAGTCACCTCCCCTCAAATTGTCTCCCTTTATCATAAGTGTCTGGCCCGTTCACAAACTGTTGACTTCTATTTTACGTTAGTTCCATGTTGACAAGGCAAAATAATGACAGATAATAATTTATGTAGTTAATATTACTTTATGGCGTTTGTTATTCTCTTGAAAATGTTCCCGTAAACTGTAAATTTCTCACTTAACTCGTCAATCGAGACCGTTCGTTTCACAAAGCGCCATTTGTTTTACTTAACCAGCGTGTATTGGTTCGCTTCCAACAGCGGTTTCGAAGTTTTCAAGACACGAAACTACTTTTTAAGTCGCATATACAAAGAGTGGTGACCCGTCCCTGTGTGTTAGGTAGGGGGAGTTTACGTTTCAAGTTTTTACATTTGTAATAAAAGATTTTAATTTTCCGAAAACTACACAAAAAGTATATAATAAAAAGGATATTCCACGTGTCTCGTGAAATATCATGTTTCTCTCATCTCGTGACGGGGGAAAAGGAGATATGAGAGAAACGTGATATTTCACTCGACACATGAAATATCCTCTATTTATTCATTTTAGTAGATGGTGTTATAAACTTTCACATAACGGAACAGGTATTATTACAGGTAATAATACTCTGGTAGCAAACCCGGGTATTTAAATAAATAAATGCAGCAAAGAGTGTTTGGGTAATCCTGGCACAGTCAGGCTGGTTGGGCTCATCATCAGCTCAGCGAATGGGAACCAGGAAGCGCTGCCAAGTCAAACCCACTCAGAGCTTTTCGGAGAATGTGAAGACTCCCCAACACTGCAGCCTTCTGCATTACCCAGATTGTCAGAAGGGCTGTATTCCTGGTAGCAAACCCGGGTACTCTCCCAATGTCATTCAACAGATTGGGAGGTGCCAAACCTAAGGCACCGAGAACAATTAGGAGTCGGACAACTTGGTATTTGGGATGCAAGCGTGACATTTCGAAAGCGAGGTCCGCATATTTGCCATGTTTTTCCTCAATCTTGTCAATCACATTACTGTCAGAAGGGACAGAAAATTGATTTCATTGGATTTATAAAAAAAAACAAGATCAGGTTTGTTGGCCTGGATACGTCTGAGGCTGTAAATGGGCCTATTCTAAAGAATTTTGTATTTATCATTTTCCATGACGCCCTCTACATATTCCGGGTCGTACCATGGATGGACTTCTGTGTCAAAACCACAAGCAAGGCGAAGACGGTAATAAAATGATCGAGCTACACCATCATGTCATTTGAGATATCCACTGACAATGAGTTGGACAGTCTCATTAAATTCATTACATAATCTACCACATGCATGTACATCAATTAGATAACTATAGGAAGAAGGCCAGGATGCGTGCCACTCTGTGCACAGCGTGAACTGATGCAGAGATGTATTGCGGATGTGGAACATTTGAAAAGCACGTGGTATGAACGTGAAACATAGATACACAATGACACAATATTAATGACTGAAACTTAATATATATCTTTGCAAGATGTTTATCTTCATAATAATTTAAACTTAAGGTGGCCATTTACCATGTGTTTTGAAGTCTCGTTGACGAGGAAAGCCTCAAAAATGCATTTTTTGTGTGTGATAAAGGTATCCAAAAGATAAACTCATCAAACATTCAAATAAGTTTCATGTAATGCTCAAGTCATGTTTAACAGTTTGTCCTTTCATGCTGATGTAGGGTCTTCTCGTAGGGTGCAGGTTGTAGTACCCAGCTCAACAAGTAGTGATATCAGCAGGTCATGTTTGGGATGCTTACTGGGGTCTTTATTCAACAAAATGTCAAGATATCGTCTTACAACACGGAAGTGGGAGCTGTTCATGTTGAAAATAGAAAGAATTAACTAGACAGTTCATTAACCAAATGTTCCCATTTTCTGTCAAAGTGTTTATTGTTTTGTTTTCTGTGTGTAATTGATTTCTTTATCCGAAATATATGTCAGATTTACATAAAGTTTTCAATTGAAAATTGTTTTTTTTGTTAATACTTAATACATGTATGTATTGTTTAGATGCCAATATGACGTGATTCTTCACAAGACTGAGAGGTAAAAAACACTCCAGTCAACTTTCCCTTAATGTCGAGTAATATTCCAGCAGCTCCAGCCTTTGGTACGAACAGTTCCCAATTTGTGGGGTAAAATCAAGAAGATTTCAAAGAGCGTCACACGACTCTTGCTAAAAAGTCGCTTGGTCAAGGTAACAACATTCAAGGCCTCAGTATAGCTTTCAAAAACACGTATACTAGACATTTGGAGGACATTTCCAAATGTGCAAGTATTTGTGATGGGCACCACCAGTGGGGCAGGATACGCTCATCTTCCGCGAACACCTGGTGTCATCACTGTTTGATAGTGATACATAAACACATGCTCAGGATATAGCCGAAATCGTACAATCGACTCTGTCTTTGGCAGTGATTTTACTTATGAATATGGAAAGGGTTTGTCGCTTCTATCTAATAAAAAATTGGTATATATGAATAGTGGAACTAAACATGTAGGCTCATAGATATGTTTTATTGTTAATTTTGCATTTTGGCCCCGTATTTTACATGAATATTACTCTAATATACACTAATAGAATAGATCATTTGTAAATGTACACACCCAAACGGCAAAATAGTGATAAAATATTTCAGGGATCACTGAAAATAAGGGATAAAAGGTGTTCGCAAATAGGATAAACATGCCCTACTCTTCCGATAACTACTACTACTCATAAATGTCTGAAATACTGGAATATTGTATCGAGACTAGATTTTATTCAGCTACAGCTACAAAACAATTTCTTTTTTTATGTTGTGGACTCGAATGTCAAATACATAAAAACAAATAATGGCATATATAAAATGTTTGAATTCTTGAGTTACTGCCCATTTGATATTCTGGGGTTGGGGTAGGGGGATGTGCTGGGATTTAAGTAAAAAGAGTTTTATCATTGTTTTAGATACAAAGAATTCTGGTTTTGTGCTGTAGCTGAACAAAATGTCAAGTCTCAATGCAAAACCCCTGCCCCCCCAGAATATCAAATGATCGGCCCCTTACGAGCTACTCACCAGCCGAACACGATATTGTTTCTGAGAGTGTCGAACTTCCTTTTGGCGTTTTGCATATTCCTTCAACAGCTTTGTAAATTTCAAAATTTTGGTTTGTATCCATAGCAAAAACACCTTTACCAGTTGAAGACCTTCGCCCTGCTTCAAATTCGAATGAATGGCTAGTTGTCCGATATCTTCGGATAGTATTGTACGGCCATTCATAAAGGACGTGGGAAGATGTGAGATCGCACAGGCACAAGCTCGAGTCCTTCACCATGAGGTTATATGCTCCTTTGAGATGGCATCTCTTGGACGTCTCCTCTCCTCCCCTGATGTAGACTCTGAACATTGTATCTAGATCAACCACAAACAAAGTTCTCGAGAATATCACAGATAAAGAGTACCCCTTTCCCTTGTCTCAGTTGTCACGTAGAAAAAATGCCTCGTTTAAAAACACTCGGTTTTAGGACATGCACGCTATGGTAATGCGTCCTCTGTGGACCGAAATGTAACAGATAAATCCGAAAACCTTGCTGTCCACCCAAAACGATCACAATGAAGCATCAAGGCAAGGCCACATCCTTTTAACTGATCTACTTGTGTGACCTGGACATATCACGCTTAAGAGGAAAAATGATCTCACTGTATGTTCACGAATTTGATGCATGACCGGTAATGATGTCTAATATCAGTAGTTCCGGGCATTATATTAAATTCGGTTTATATTCGACCTGATGTTGATGTTTCCAGCTAAGGTGTACTGTACAGTCTGTTACAGTCAAACACCGCTGTGTCGAACTTTGATGTGTCGAACTTGTCTCGATGTAAAAGTTGGGTTCTTTATTCATCATTTTCGGTTGTGTCGAACATCGTATAACTCGAAGTATTTACGTAAATCCCTTCAACTTCGACACAACGGTATTTGACTGTATGTGTAAACTCCCTCGGGATTCTGAGGCATCCCAGGCATCTCTTAAGAGCCGGCTAAAATGGTAGGTGTTCCTCTCATTCACCGGTTGGTCAACTCCAGACTAGGGGGCGGTCGGGTAGTCTAGTGGTTAAAGCGTTCGCTCGTCACGCCGAAGACCCGGGTTCGATTTCCGACATGGGTACAATGTGTGAAGCCCATTTCTGGTGTCCCCCGCCGTGATATTGCTGGAATATTGCTAAAAGCGGTGTAAAACCATACTCACTCACTCCAGACTATGTGTTTCGCGGGCCACCATGATATAACAGGGACAGTATTGACTCGTATATGTGTAGAGAACCCGGGAACGTGTTTATGTCGGCAGGATGCACGTGTGTTAGACATTGGAATCAGACACACAGACACTGTACACGTGTCAGTCAGTAGATGTGTTTGAATAGAAGCGGAACAAACCACCTTCATTATCATATCGACTAACAGCAGAGTCCACTGTGCGACTCAGTCTATATCACAAGCACGTGTTTATGACTCACTATCAAATAGTGATGACACCAGGTGTTCGCCAAAGGTTTGCATATCATGCCCAACCGGTGACACCCGCCACAAACACATCCATACATGGTTTCCCGAACAGAATACGGGAACATATAGTCGGACATTGATTTTGTCAATACTGCGTCAAATTTGGAAATAGTCTCGTCGTGTCTACTACGTGAATATTTTAACCTTGATGGAACAACCTTTTAGCAAGAGTGTTTGACGCTCTTTGAAATCTTCGTAGAAAGCATACTTGATTACCCCAAACGTAGACACCAAAGGCTGGAGCTCCTGGAATATTGCTTGACATAAAGGGAAAGTTGACGATTTGAAAATTGAAATCATCCCTCTTGTCTTGTGGATAGATCTTTATCTGAAGACGCTCCAAAGCCAGCAATTTACACAAACAGTTTTCCTTCAAATTCGTTCATAACATAGGTATTTCAAAACAAGATCCCTCAAGCGATATCGCCTGTGGTTACCTCGCTGTGTATGTGAATCTGTGCTTCTTTAAACATTTCATATTTCATAATTAATGTGTGTAACAGTCGACTTGAATCTTCCTTATATTTTTAGAGTCTTAATGCCGAAGTTCATCTTTTATAAGTGGGCGAGTTGGGTTTAATTTCGCTTTGAATGGCATTCCAGTTTTATAGCGGTGTGTCAGCCTAGTGTAGGAGGAAAGCCCGAAGTAATGCAGGTCGCCAACGTTTACCACTTTGGTGGAATCCACGAGCGCGAGTTTGGTGCTGACAAACCAAGAAGCATAATCGGAGCGAACTGGAATTTGAACCCATGATAATAGGATTCTGGCGTGCGCAAGGGACGCAACTCGGCACATTGAATTGTGGAACTTCATATAAGACGACTGGGCCACCGTCTGTCCCCTCTTTGATCAGATGTGTAAACAAGTATTGTGAAGCGGATATCAGCTAGCTTCAATGCATGTTGAGTCACATCCTGACAGCTATTCTGGTGATAGAGTTGTCGCGCGGAAGGGAATGTGTCGGTGTACGAGTAACCCTTCTCATCTCAACGGCTATATAAAGGAAGTAAGTTGCAACCGTGGCTTTAGAGACTATTGAATTACAGTGCAATCATCCCGTGACGTTCTCCTTAACCTTACCCGCTTTGCACTGTAAATGTATGCCAACGAGATGTTCCTTTGGGAGCTTTGTGAGCGTAAACAACCACTTGAATAAACAAAGTAGATGTTTTTCACTGTGTGTCTCGGTGATGTGTTGTCCTCACACATGTGAATCGCAATATGGCTGCAATATTGCCGATGCGATGTAAAATTTTAACTCACTCACTCAATCACTCACTCCTCTCACATGTAATGAAGTTCTTATTCGCTCGTTACAACGAAGAGATCGGCTTCGAGATTCCCAACAGGGTTAATGTTGAATGAGAATGCTTGGAGTTCCCCGTCGTGGCATCTACTCTGTATTGAATATATTCTGTATTGAATGTATGGTTAATCTGTCTTACAACAGTATATATGAAACAATATGATATAATGATTGTTAATCTGTCTTACAACAGTATATATGAAACAATAAGATATAATGATTGTTAATCTGCTTTACAACAGTATATATGAAACAATAAGATATAATGATTGTTAATCTGTCTTACAACAGTATATATGAAACAATAAGATATAATGATTGTTAATCTGTCTTACAACAGTATATATGAAACAATAAGATATAATGATTGTTAATCTGTCTTACAACAGTATATATGAAACAATATGATATAATGATTGTTAATCTGTCTTACAACAGTATATATGAAACAATAAGATATAATGATTGTTAATCTGCTTTACAACAGTATATATGAAACAATAAGATATAATGATTGTTAATCTGTCTTACAACAGTATATATGAAACAATAAGATATAATGATTGTTAATCTGTCTTACAACAGTATATATGAAACAATAAGATATAATGATTGTTAATCTGTCTTACAACAGTATATATGAAACAATATGATATAATGATTGTTAATCTGTCTTACAACAGTATATATGAAACAATAAGATATAATGATTGTTAATCTGCTTTACAACAGTATATATGAAACAATAAGATATAATGATTGTTAATCTGTCTTACAACAGTATATATGAAACAATAAGATATAATGATTGTTAATCTGTCTTACAACAGTATATATGAAACAATATTATATAATGATTGTTAATCTGTCTTACAACAGTATATATGAAACAATAAGATATAATGATTGTTAATCTGCCTTACAACAGTATATATGAAACAATAAGATATAATGATTGTTAATCTGTCTTACAACAGTATATATGAAACAATAAGATATAATGATTGTTAATCTGTCTTACAACAGTATATATGAAACAATAAGATATAATGATTGTTAATCTGTCTTACAACAGTATTTATGAAGAAATAAGATATAATGATTGTTAATCTGTCTTACAACAGTATATATGAAACAATAAGATATAATGATTGTTAATCTGTCTTACAACAGTATATATGAAACAATAAGATATAATGATTGTTAATCTGTCTTACAACAGTATATATGAAACAATAAGATATAATGATTGTTAATCTGTCTTACAACAGTATATATGAAACAATAAGATATAAATTTGTTTGTGTATGTATAACCTTCACTTTGTGTGAGCTCAGTTGGTAATGACCTTCACAGAGTGAAGGCCACTGTATTGCAGTGGCGGCGACGTTCATACCATGATGGGCTAAACCGTCAGTGTTTACGTCATTTCAAGAATTTCTCGTGTAAAACATATGAATGTACAAAATGTGTCGTTCATACGCTCATGAATCTCAGTTTCGTGGTCATGTGTCCGTATCTCGTGTAAACTTCACATAAAGGAATAATAAACATATCCAATTATCCAGCACAAGCACTTGGATCCAGGGCACGATTCTCCCCTTTACATAATTTTGGAGCTATGGTTCATAAGATAATATAGATCCGAGGTGCATCACAATGTACGGTGGCCCATACCCGCCACTGGTGAGATCATTTTCCCCTGTAAGCCTCTATATTTTATCTCACCAGTGGAAAAAAATATAGAGGCATACATTGAAAAATGATCTCACCAGTGGAAGTTTCTGGCGGCCGCCAGATAAAATATAGAGGCATTCAGTGAAAAATGTTCTCACCAGTGGCGGGTAACAATGAGGCATCTTGTGTTTTATTCGAATACCTTTGGGATTATAGATATTAATATTTCCAAAGAATGTATTTCCTTGACAAACCGTCAGTTGTCAAATATGTCCTTGTCATGTTCACTTTCCCTGTGGTTGTAGATAAAGCCGTGTCAATTTTATGTAATCGATCCTCGTGTTGTTTCCACACTGTTCGTTGAGTCCTTGTTTGTTTATGTATTGATATCTGTTATTTGAGTGTCTTCACATACAGCTAGGGCGGTGTGTTTGTGCAAGGTGTACATTGTACATATGTTCATTGCTCGTTGCGATGCTGGGTGCACGTTGGGCCCAGTCGTCTGAGGCACCGCAATTCGCTGGGCAGAGTTGCATCCCTTGGGCACGCCAGAAACCATGATCCGGGGTTCGAATTATGTTTCTAGGTTTGTCAGCACCATACCCGTGCTCGCGAGTTTCGCCAAGTGGTAAATGTCTGAGACCTGCATCACTTCGGGCTTTCCTCACACATCAAGCTGACACTCCGTGATATATTTGGAATGATGTTCAAAGCGGCGTTAACCCAATCTCACTCACTCATGGCGATGCTATGAACAAAACCCACTATATAATTAGTATGTGTTTATGAATTACTATCAAATAGGTATGATATTAGTATGAGGCTCTTTGAAATCTTCTAGTTCAGCCATGGGCACAATGTGTGAAGCTCATTTCTGGTGTCCCCCGCCGTGATATTGCTGGAATATTGCTAAAGCGGCGTAAAACCATACTCACTCACTCACTCTAATTCAGCTGAGTAAATAAGTGGAAGGGACTTAGCTATTGAACGATATAAGATCATCGCAATACCGAAAGCTTGAGTTAAACGTCTTGACAAGATTCCTTGTTTTGGTTTTGCTTATCCGAGCATTAATTCCGATTCCTATGCAACAAGAAACAGATCATCAGGAAGAAGAGCACAGTGTGTGCCCGTGGGGATTCCTATTCCCTGCCTA